GAGGAATATGCTTCATCGCAAAGAGTCCAATGCGAACATATGTATACCCGTTGTTTTCATACTCAATAGGCTGCCAAAAAACATTCGGCGAACAGCTGTGGTTCATGAACCGACCAACATTTCCTTTTTCCTTGGCGCTTATCAAGACTTGTGTCGGAAGATTGATAACTTCAGAGACCTGTGCCGAAGCATCTTCACGCAAAAGCTGAGGTTCATAGTTCCATATGAAGCTATGATAAATCCGAGATGTGTCGAACAAGTAATCGTCATCCTCTTCTACTTCTTCTTTTGTCTTGCTCACACCGGCAAACTCGCAGATAAAAGTTCCGGCTCGGATTGGATCCCAAGAACGTAAACCCCAACCATAGTTTGCTGTTTTGAACACTTCCAAGTGGAGCTTCAAACCGGTTTGAACCAATCGGTTTGGGCAATCGTTGGGGCAGGGACAAGATCCACCGCACTCGTAAATCAATGGTTTACGACAAACCAAAATGTTGTTATGGTATGGTAGCTCGCCACCGTTTTTACCCATGCACGAGCAGTTTTGATGACTGCATGACTCACAATTCTGGCATCCAAGTGATTGAATATCAACATTAAGATCAAACATCATACCTGAGTAACACTGAGATCTAATGTAGTCAAAATCTTCGGGAATCGTTTTGTCGTCTTCATCAACTTCATTAACGAGCGGAACTCGTAAAACCTCTGCTCCAAAAGATAGATCTCCAAGTATAGAACCTTCTCTTGGATCAATCAAGTCATGGTTCCTCAAAATTTCAACTGACTTCCAGATTGCATAACCAGAAGGTTGGTCTGGTTTCCTCACCAATTTGAATCTGAACTCCTTAAAGCCAGATTTTCCTATCACATGCTCGAAATCAGAAACCAGATAAAGTCCATCGTAGATAAATACGTCATTGTTATGCTTCTCCAGTCTAACGACTCTAACGTCATTCCCTTTTCTTACACTTGCTTCTAGTGCAAGGTTTCCATTTTTCAGAACCTGATCACATGGTTGACGGTTCTTGCCCTTTCCGTCTTGTCCGATATAGATCAAAGTGTCAAGCTCCTCGGTTTCATCATCGTACTGTCCTGATGATACCACACTCGTAGCAGCATGACCATCCACTCCACTCCTTTTAGCTGACAGATAATCAATGCCCGCGGCCATGTCTCTGTGAAGACCGACTAAGCACATTTCACCCCAGTAGTAGAATATATCGCCTACTTGTACTCCAGGAATTGGACCAATTCTTCTCGTCATATTTGTCCGGACCCCCAATCTCATGCAATTAGTTGACGCTGTTGTAAGGATGTCTTTTGGCTGGTTTACTTGGTGTAATCGCCGTCTAATCGCGTCAAACCGCATCAACACCGAAGCAACTATCTCAAGGTTTCCGCTTTCTCTCTCTGCTTTGGTTATCCCTGATTCAAATTTTGGACAAGATTTAATCAGTTTGCTATTAGGATCATATGCTTTTGGCTTCTTTGGTTTTCTCGTCCCGTTTCTTGAACCCTTTGGTCGGCCACGTCCTCGTTTTCTTGGACCAGTACTAGGACCAGCACCCCCATCATAAGAGTTGTTGTTGAAGTCATCAAATACCATTAGGGTTGGAGGTGGTGAGACCATTACTGTAGTTAATACTGATGTGTTCTGATTGTCTACAAAATCTTGTCGTCACTGGTGTTGCCTCGATCAGGATAGACTTATCCGTTTTAATAGAAATCCTATCATTATAAAAAGAAAAGTCAGAGTTCAATCATATTTTAAATAATAGTAGATAGAAAGAACGCTCGTACGAAACCTATTGAAACCAAGAAATATAGGCCTGCTTATTTTGTGACAATATTGGGACGTCAATATTCAAACCGCATATTATTATAAAATTGCATAACAATAAGTTTAGACCTGAACTTTTTTTTTGAATATCTGGAAGTTCAAGCCCAAAGGCCCAACATCTCCCAGAAGCAAGATCCACACCAAATTAAATTCATTTCTTTTGGAGAAAAGATCCCTCCCAATGGGCGTCGAACCCAGTACCTCCACCTGGGAGATTTACCACTGGGCCAACACAACGTTGGTGTTTAGATCTGAATTATAAAGCGATGATCCACTCAACTAAGAAGAACTCTTAATTATATATATATATATATATATATACCTCAACACGAACTGTACATAAAACATGAAAATATTGAAACAACAAATCAAATAAGCATGTACCTTAATAAAACCGAAAAATGAGATCTAATTCTTCAAAGAACACGAACCGAAGGAGGAGAGAAAACATGAAGTAGGAAACAAACGAAGAATTAAAAGAAATGTCACGAACGGGAAATGGTTAAGGTAGCGAAGCTAGAATGGTTTATGTGATATTTGAGAGTAGATATGAGCGAAAATATAATCCCCTATTTAAAGGAAATAAAGATGACGTGTTGTTGTTCACAAGAAAAATGATGGCCGTTAGATTCATCTCTACCGTCCAATTTTAAATCATTTAAAAATTTTAGATTTTTTTCTTTGTTATTCAATGTATCTTAGTTTACCCATTAATGTTTTAAAACTTTTGCCTAAAAATAGTTAACATAAAAGTGAAATATCTCTACTTTCCCATTTTAAATCATATTTCTACATATATGTAGTTTATTCAACGCTCTCTAAAAAGTAAATGGTTTAACATTAAGTATTACCTATTACGCGCTATAATTAAATTTTGAATATGACTGTAGAAGTTTGCATTTTAAGAAGATATATCTTTGCGGAAAGATTTGACTTGTTTTTATTAAGTATCAAACCTAGGATGTCAAAATGGATCAAGATTCATAGGTCAACTCAACTCAACTCAATACATGAATCCTAATGAGTTTGAATTTTTGACTCAAATGTGTTGATGAATCAAATTAGTTGGGTTGTAATGGGTCAATGGTTTCAATAGTTTACCCATTTAACCCATCATTTTTTGTTAAATTGAATCAAACCAATTCAAATCTCTAAACCGATATCAATTTGAGTCTAACCAAAACTTCTAAACCAATTGAATATAATCATTTTCCCGCCAAAGATGTGAATACTCAATTTTCCCCCAAAATTATAAATTCATAATTTTTCCGGCAAAAAAGTAAATCCGCAGTTTTCCCGCCAAAGAAGATTCACATTTTTAACCAAAAAAGATAATGTGCAATTTTCTTGCCAAAAATGTAAATCTGTGATTTTTCAGCCAAAAATATAAATCCGTAATTTTTCCGCCAAAAACGTAAATTCGTGATTTTCCGCCAAAAACGTAAATCCGTGATTTTTCTGCCAAAAACGTAAATCCGTAGTTTTTCTGCTAAAACGTAAATCCGTGATTTTTCCGCCAAATAATAGTGATAATGATGGCTATTATTATTACTAGGTTATGAACCCCCGCGATGTCGCGGGAGAACTCATTTTAAACATATATATTTTATTGTATTTATGTATTAAATTATTATGATAATATATTCAATATTTAAATTATTACATAAAATAAACTATGTTTTAAAATTATGTTAAAATAATTTATGAATAAAAATATAAAAAAGAAGAATTATGATTAAAAACACTTTTGAAATATTTGTTATGCATATAAAGTTATTTATAAGTGATAAAATACATAATGAAGAGTTATAATATAGAGATGTGAAATTCTAGCGGGTTAAAACTAAAAAGACATAAAAAACGTAACCGGAAAAATTATTGTCAACGAAAAAGGTAACCGTCAATATTTTAACGAAGAGTGGCAATAAAATGACATAACCGAGAAAAAATAACCGTCAATATTTTAACGGAAAGTTGCGATAAAAAGACACAACCGAGAAAAAAGAACTGTCAATATTTTAACGGAAAGTTGCGATAAAAAGACACAACCAAAAAAGTAACTGTCAATATTATAACGGAAAGTTACGAGAATAAGACACATACGAAAATATAACCCTCAATGAAAAATGTAACTGTAAATATTTTAATGAAGAGTTGCGATAAAAATACACCACCGAGAAAAAATAATAGTTAATATTTTAACGGAAAGTTGCGATAAAAAGACATAAAAAAAATATATAACCGTCAATATTTTAACAGAAAGTTGCGATGAAAAGACACAACCAAACAAATAACCGTCAACGAAGAAAGTAACCGTCAAATATTAACGAAGATTTGCGATAAAAAGACACAATCGAGAAAAGATAACCATCAGTATTTTAACGGAAAGTTGCGATAGGAAGACACAACCGAAGAAAAATAATCGTCAATATTTTAACGGAAAGTTACGAGAATAAGACACATACGAAAAAATAACCGTCAATGAAAAATATAACTGTAAATATTTTAACGAAGAGTTGCGATAAAAATACACCACCGAGAAAAAAAGAACAGTTAATATTTTAACGGAAAGTTGCGATAAAAAGACACAAACAAAAAAATTAATCGTCAATATTTTAACAGAAAGTTGCGATAAAAAGACACAACCATACAAATAACCGTTAACGAAAAAAGTAACCGTCAAATTTTAACGAAGATTTGCGATAAAAAGACACAACCGAAAAAAGATAACCGTCAGTATTTTAACGGAAAGTTGCGATAGAAAGACACAACCGAGAAAAAATAATCGTTGATATTTAAACGGAAAGTTGCGATAAAAAGACACAAACGAAAAAAGTAACCATCAACATTTTAACCGAAAGTTACGATAAAAATACACAATCGAAAAAATAACCGTCAACGAAAAATGTAATAACTTGAAACAAAAGATTGGACTTAACATTCTACACAGTAATATTTTTTCGCGATTGATTATTTTCTTCGAACATGAATGAATCGCTCTTCATTATCTTATGAATTATGATGCACTGGTTTTAAGCAAAAATGATTAAATTGAATATATGACAAAAATAATACAAACCAGACAAAAGAGACCCTCCGTGTCAACCAGAAGCTCTCTCTTACTTAGCTCACAGTCTTCTGTGTCTCTGTCACTTTTAGGGTTCTACACTTTTACTCCACACTTCCACAGTTTGGGTACAGACTCTTTCTTCTTCCCTCTTTTGGTACTAAATTGAATAATTGATTCTCTCATTCCAGTATCTGTTGACAAATCTTATTCTTGATAGTTACTTTTCTATGTTCATGTTTGTTTACAGTTCTACTTTTTCTTACAGGTTTCTGAAATTGCAGCAATCAGCAAACATGGCACCGAAAAACAAGACATCAACCATGATTTGGGTACGGACTCTTTCTCTCCTTTCGGTACAAAAATTGATAAAGTTTAAATTTTTTTTGTCGAGTTCTTGAACTGGATTTGATTCCCCAGTTTCAATACAAGAATGTTTGTTATGCGATTAATCTTCTACGTTCATGTTTTAATTTGTCTTTTAGGTTAGGAAATCGAAACAATCAGCAAACATGGCAAAGGAAGAAGAGATCGCTGCTAGAATGATCTCCTCTTCTCAAAGAGCTACCGAAAAGTTCCAAGGTACCAACTCTTTTCTCTCTTCTTAATCTTTATGATTTCATGTAAAAGATTTTGTGATCTCTGATAGTCTGATGTTATGGTGATGTTCTAGGTTCAACAGTTTGTAGTTCTAAACTATCCCGTTGCCCTGTTGTCGCTTTGGAAACCGTGTCTAGATGTTACTAGATCTTGCTATAAGACAGGGGAAGACAGACACACTGTTCTCCTCTTCGATCAAAAGGGTGAGAAAATGCAGCTTCGATTTTCATGTTCATTTGTCTAACTTGTTGGGATAATGTGTCAAAAAAGCAGTGTTAATAATCATTTGAAGAATTATCAGAGTAGAAAGCAGTTTCTTGTTTGCTCTCTTTCAGGTATGTTTTGTCTTTTGGCTTTAAAATGTTTTGATTCCTTTTAGCATCGACAATAGATAATCCTTGGTAATAAAAATGCTTGTTTGGGGTTAATCAGGCATGTCATTGACGTCAACATGGTCACCTTTTAACTTCTGTGAATCACATTTTGCAAAAGATTAAGTGTGTTGTTGTAAGTTCACAATTTCCAATCAATCCTCTTCCACATGTGCGTTTGTTCAGTTGGGACAGCAAGTTGATGATGTCCCTGAATCTCATATGGTTAATTCATTTAGTTAACATTGAACCATGTCCGATAGAGATTTACGAAATCTTTTGCTTTCAACATGAACATGATTCGTGTGCTTTAATATACTCTTGTTTCTCTTTTGTAGTTGGTGTACGCTCAACAAGGCCATGAGTATCACTTCAAGCATGTCGAGCTCTGGTCTATCTAGAGTGTTGTTATTTGGTATATAGAGTGAATTGTTCCTCTCTACGGTAGCTAAAGTCGAAATTTGTACAGTTTGCCTAAACGAGAATTGTGTTGCATACCAGAATCAAACTTGTATTCAAAGTAATAATGTGAATATGAATTTCATAAGATCTAACTGCAGGGTATACATAGTGATACATAAAAGATAAACCCTAATTAGTAGTATCTTAAAGTCTACGACACTATAACAATTGTGAAACCCCTACATTAACGACATGATCACTACAAAAACAAAAACAAAACCTAATTTGAAACCCTAACTAGACTTCCAACACACGGATCAACTAAAATATACAACCATACACACACAAAAAAACCATGTTTTGAAACCCTAATTATTAGACTCTGTTTCACTTTTGCTACTGGTAAACAGGTTGGCGACAGAGAGGGCATGAATTTTGTTGTCGATTCAACCACTCGTTGAGACAACCTTGATGAAACAGATGCGGACAATGATGCATATGGTAGATAGATCCCGACTCCAACATATCCTCCAGACAAATCGCACAAGTCTCTGTTTCTTCTTCTTCGATCTCTTTGTCCACCAAATCTGTTGTCGACGGAGCACAATTACAAGACACGACTTTGAATACCTTGCGTGTAAATCTGACGGAGACTCCCATGAATAAGGGTTGTTGTGGCAAGTGATCAGAACTTTGACTTCTTAACTCCTGTGCTTTAACAACAATCTGATCAGATATTTGTTTGGACAAGACATGATCGTGAAGTTGGGTATGGACAAGTTGGTAGAGGTAGTTTGGTTCGAAGCTTTGGAATTTCAGATAGATTAGTGGGTCGGAAAAAGGAGAGTCCGGGTAAGAGCCAAGACTCGTGACACTATCATCGTTCTCGTCTATGATGAATTCCTCGACTTGTCTCGGTCGAATGATTATTAACTCGTTTAAGAAGTCTGAAGATGGAGTAAAAAACAAAGCAGTTACATTAACATCGGCGTTGAGTGATGTGGTTTCCATTATCTGAGAAAGACAGATGATATCAGTCGTAAGAGATTGGAAAAAGAGAAGAGATTGTTGTGAAATAGGAAATTGTGGAGAAGTCAAGTGTTATGTTATCTTTTTATAAGCAAAACTCTGATTACAATTTCCTTTTTGTTTTTTCAACTTTCGTCTTGTTTCCTTTCTTTTTTTCTCCAAAAGTATTTTTATTGTTGTTGTATTTCCATTTTTCAATTTTAATGTATCTCACTATTGACTATACCATAGCTTAAAATTGGTTCCCGGTTTAAGCTCAATATACCGAATCTGTAATAATGTCTTTATGAATAATTTCCTTCAAGTCCGTCAATCTCCTCTGTTTTATCCTCTGCATCGAGCTTTTTTGGAACGAACTGTAATTGGGCCTGGGATTTTAACTGAAAACTCAGCCCATCTTATTGCCACTTAACCCAATTTCAATCTTAAAACCAAAGACTAACCACGAGATTAAACCAACCCAATTTCAATTTTAGTGTGCTCTTCTTCTCTTTGAGAGTGTGAATTTGGTGTTCTTAAACTTCTTCTCTGGGTTTTGGGTACAATTAATCTTCTTCCCCTTTGCTAAATTCTGGAAATGAGATTCGATTCTCTGTTTTCAGTATTTATTGTTGCCAATTGGTCAATAATATACATTCGATGAAGCTTCGTTTTTTTTTCCTATCAGATTTTCGAAAATCGCAGAATTAAGCAAAGATGGCAACGGAACAAGATACATCATACAAAATGCTAGAATCTTCTCTCCTCCCGTATTGTGTACGTTTGCTACTGACTATTGATTTGATTCTTCAATGTTTGTTGGCAAATTCTGGTTTTTGTGGTTTGGTGTATGTATGCATTGTTGAGAAGAAGATTTGGGTCAGATTATCTGTTTTTCTTCAAAAATTTGATTTGATTGTTCAATGTTTGTTGTTTCCGTCTCCATGGGCAAGAGTTTGAGTTCAGAAGTTTGATACTTTGATTGGTGTATTGTTGAGAAGAAGATTTGTTTGTTTCTGGGAGATTTGATTTGATTCTCCGTTTGATTTGATTTGAATTCTGGAATTGGATTCGATTCTCTCATTTCAATATATGCTGGCAAATCTTGCTCTTGATAGTTACTTTTCTCTATTCATGTTTTTTTTTCTTCAGAGTTCTGGAATTGCAGCTATCAGCAAAACATGGCACCGAGAAAGAAGACACCAACCATGGTTTAGGTACAGACTCTTTCTCTCCTTTTGGTACAGAAATCGAAAAAGTTATAATTGTTATCGAAATCTCAAACATGATTTGATTCCCTGTTTCAATAGCAAGATTGTGTTTTAAGGACTGTTATAATCTTCTCTGTTCATGTGTCTTATAGAAAATTGATATTTCTTTTAGGTTAGGAAATCGTAACAACCAGAAAACATGGCAAAACCTGCAAAGGACAAGAACAAATCGCTACTGGACTGCTCTCCTCTCCTCGAAGAGCTCCCGCGAAGTCCCGATTGTGTAACAACTCTTTTCCTCCCTGAGTTTACTACTTAATTTATTGGCATAAGTAAGAGTTTGAGTTCGGAAATTTGATTTGAATCTTTGTTTTCATGTTTGTTGGCAGAAGTAGTTTGGTGTATGTATGGTTAAAAAAAATCTTCCTTTGTATACCAGAGACATCTGCTGGCTTTAAAGAAAAAAAAAAAGTTCCTTATGATTTAAGGTAAAGAACTTGTGATCTCTGATGTTATAGAGATATTCTAGTTCTAATTTCTAAACCTTGTTGTCTCTATGGAAATGGTTGTCTCATGAATTTTCACAGTTGTGTGTGGTTTTCTAAAGAAGTTGGCTTTCGTCCAAGACTCATATGAAACTTAATCTGCAGAAGATGTTCCGAGCCACTTTAATGATAATGATATTCCATGATCGATCAGCTTCAGCTCCGTGATAGGTCAGTCACTTAGATCGGTTTCTCTATTTTGCATTTGGGATTGTCTCAAAAATTTTGACTTTTGTCTACTTGAAGATTTGGGAATTATAATGTATTGAAATGTCTTGATTTCGACATGATTTTCGAATACAGTATCGAGCTTGATACTGTATATATTTTTGGGAGTCAAATACTGTATATTGTTTGTACACAGATATGCGCAAGGAGCAATCTTTGTTCTTTTAGTTCAAAGCTAATTTAAGGTAGTTATGTTTTGGGGGAAATGTCTCACTCTTATTAGATTTGCTCAGGAATTTTGAATCAAGGTTAGTGTTGCGAGTTCGAAAGATAGTACTTATATCTGGCTAATTATAGATCTTTGGATTGTTAGTGTATCATGGGTTCTTATGGTTCATTGATAAAAGTTTGAACGGAGTTAGTGAAATTATCTATTCTTAGGTGAATTGTGTTGTCTCATTTTGTGTTTTGGTGTCTGCTACTCAGAAAAGCTTCACATTGTTCTTAATTCGAAACGTGCTTGAATCTGTGGCTTGTTGTTTAATGATCTCCTTTAAACCATGAACGACAACTCATGCATTGTCTATTGGTGGGTTTTTTTCCTTAACTTTTGCTACTTTGTGGGTTTTTTTCCTTAACTTTTGCTACTTTGTGGGTTTTTTTCCTTAACTTTTGCTACTTTGTGGGTTTTTTTTTCAGCTCGAGGATGCACATATCATTGGTGGAGAGGTGACTTGTGGACTGTGTTGATAGCTTCACACGCAAATCTCTGCAGAAACAAGACGAGACTTGTCTCAGTGAAATTCCACTTCTCTCCATGCGATGAAAAAAGTAGTTATTTTTTTTACCTCAAAGTGGGATTTCATAGTGCACAAGTCCATTAATAAATACGGAAACCAAGAAGACAACAATAAATATGTCTACATTATATATAAACTATTTCTGATTTGACAATAACCAAAAAAATAATCAAAACTCTCGAGCTCCAAGGAGAGTTTACCAATATAAACAGTCTCTTCATCAAATAACTCTGAACTTGATGAAATGTTGTGTTTCTTACACTAGAAGCTGAAAGATTTAGGTATTTTGAGAATGGCAAAGCAACATTTCTTCAAGCCTCTTCTTCCCGGATTCCACAGTCACTTGGTATACTCTTTCTCCCTTCTTCTTTTTCTGTCTTTGTCTCTCTGAGAAGCTCATTGAGAATAAGTGGGTCTGTTTTTTCGTTTGCATGTTGCTTCAGACAATTCCTGTGGCTTTCTTCTTGAAGAATATAGAAGGAAGAGATGAGCAGAAGACGGCTGAGCTGAGGTCAGACGCGTCAAAGATAACTTGGGAAGTGAAGATAGATGGACAGAGACTCACTGACGGTTGGAAAGAGTTTGCTCTCTCGCATGATCTTCGAATCGGTGACATTGTTGTGTTTAGACAAGAGAGAGATATGTCTTTCCACGTTACAATGTTGGGACCTAGTTGTTGTGAGATTCAGTATGGTTCGTGTTTAAACAACCAGATGAACAACCTCGGTAAGTTGTGTTCTTTCGTCTTTCGAACTCTATCCATCTATATAAGTTTTAACTAATACTAGTTGGATTTGTTCTCTTCGATTTCAGGGAAGATTCAAAGGAAGAAGAATCCAAGAAGAGAAACAGAGTCTTCGTCACTAGATCCTTCGTGTTTTGTGGCTAATGTCACGGTTTC